TTAAAAGAACAACGCATCGCGAAGAAATCTTGGAGGCCGTTCTTCACTCGGCTTATTTCGGGAAGTTCAACATGCTTGGTTGACCATCTACACGTATCCCGTATTCACCTGCTAGATGGTCCCAGTATCTTTGAGTTAATGATTAGGTCTTGTGGCATCAAGCATTTATATACTCCAGTTTCTTTCCCTTCTTTTTCGCATGCTTGGCGCTGCTTCTAATGTCTGGTAGTATGAGAGCTCTAGAGTGCGTGTAGTCTCCAGGAATGCAGTATGCACCATAGATTAGGGTATCTTTTGGTGGCAAACGTAGAGGAATAGTGGAACTAAGATATGCAGCGGGCTGTCTTGCCTAGGTTGAGCACTAAGCCCGGCTGCTGTGGCTGTTGGTTTTCGTACCAAGGAAAATTATCGTTGCTACTGCGGTTGTTTCTCGGCTGCAGTGCAGCTGTAAGTGGCTATGACTGATACCTTGTTATAATATGTTTTAAAAGGTTTTGCTGGCTGAGTGGGCATCAAAGGCTACTCCCACCTGAGCATCCTGCGATAGTTTCATGCTCTTGAACCTTTCGATGGTGACGTCTTCCGTAGTCGTCTAGGCTAGTCCCTAAGAAACCTTTCATGGAAGCTAACTTGCTGGCAATACCAGGTAAACTAGAGTGATCTTTTCGCCTTCCAACAGTTGTCCATCCTCAAAGCCTAGGAGCAGGCTTTCCGTACTTGCCGGTCGGAGTCAGGCAGTTCAAGGTACACTTTTCATTTACCCAGACAAAGTACATGCCACTTAAATATGACTGTCATGCTTCTTGTGATCTGACCCTACGGGACAATATGCCATCGTGCGCAGCTAAGGAGCTCAGACAAAGAATTGCCGGCAGCACCGCATGCGCAAAGCCCGAGGTCAGTCGGAGGAGGGAAAGCAGCCACTGCCCTGCATGCTGTACAACAACAATCTGCAGTTTTCAGAGCCATATGCCTCTCACTGACCTTTTCCCCTTAGGTGATGAAAACTCGATGAAAAATTTATGAGTCGACTGCATGTGCGTCGCACCAGCAAAGCGGGAGAGGTAGACACTGGGTTCTACAAGAGAGCGCTTCATGGGAGGAATATCCCTCCCGGCTTCCTGATCACAGCCACGGGGCACTGGATGGGCTCTATTGCAGCGGCATACACGAGCTAGCGAAAGGAATCTTACTCGATGAGTAGGCAGCGCAAATGACCAAGACGAGCATAATAGTATGCAGCTGGGTCATGGAGAAGCAGAAAGCATATAGAGCATTGAAAAGCACTTTAGAGCTATCCATAACACCCTACGTGGACACCGGAAGGGGTAAAAATTGCTAAATGCATGCAAATACGCCAAGGCGGAGCTGCACCAGCAGCGAGTAGTGCTTCCGCAGCAATATTAGCAATATTGGTGCAGCTACTTGTCAGGTTCGTCTTCCACGTATAGTTCATTAAAGTAGCTCCTAGTAGCAATAGCTATAGTGCTCTACCACTTCTCCTATATGGAATGAAATGGGTGGCTGGACAGCTATGCAGACTGATCACTCAATAAGAATGTGGGGGAAGCGGACATCATATGAAACTCCAGCCAGAGATCTTTTGGATCTAAATGACATGAACACCTACGGCCTAGTGGAGGCCCGCGCATTATTGTAGCAGGGCAGCAAGGACTTCTGGGGTGCCCACTTCATTGCCTTCCAACACACACTCCTCGAGGCCTTGGCACAACTCCCTGGATATCTTGGCCACCAGAGCTGCCACAGGCAGTAATAGAAACCGAAATACGAGAGCATCTAGTGCTTCAGCAAGTGCGTTTTTTGTTTCCGGCCTTGAACGCATCCACAGCCTCTACGCCGGCAGCAAACTCGGGGGTCCCTAGGAAGCTACTCCTTAAGGCCTGAAGCAGCACAGACACACGATAGAGAAAGCACAGTGTAAAGCCATGAAAGGTTGAGTTTCCAAATGATGTGAAATAAACAGAGGAGCCTACCACAGATTTGAAGCACACATGCACAAGCAAAGACTGAAGAAGCAACTGCGGCTTCAGCTGCATATTCGCAGTAGAGTGATCCTCCAATTTGGAGGTTCTTAGTGCTGTACACCCAACTGTACCAATTGGCGATACCAGAACGTGAGCTTCTGTCTGCTTCTCTCCACAAGGCATTCGAATTTGAAGCTCACAGTTGAGTATCCAGGGCTTCGATTCTGGGCTTGGAACTTGGAGCGCGACAGTTAAATAAAGCGGACTAAGGCTGTTCGCAGCGAGTAACTGTGGGATTTACGGGTAGAATAGGCTCAAGAGCTTAATGTTAAACGGATTTTTTGGCCGGAGAGGGACCTGTCCGCCAGTGCGTATTTGCCTAGGGCTAAGAAGAGGAGTGATGCGATGAGGATGGCCTTAAGGACACCAGAGAACTACTGGATCTTTCTCGGGCATTCTGCTCACCTTAGAGTGGCAGCAATGGCCGTTTCAAGTTCATCAATATGCATCAGCATGCAGACATAGTGTCGGTTTACCTCGTAGGCGTGGGTCAGTTCTTCCATAGAGAGGCGCAGTTGAAGGGCTTCTTCGTATGCCGCTGTGGCCGCTTTCACAGCTTCAGGACTCAGTTTTTTTCCTCTTTCTTGCAATGAGTATCATAAGAAAATTGCGGCGTCTCTCTCCCTCGCAGCCTTGTATCTCTCCACAGCGTCTCGGCAAAGCTGCATGCCTTCCTCATAGGCTGTGCCCGTGCGTGCTTTGCTGTTGCTGCTGCGTCGAGTTTTTTTGTTGTGCCTCAGTACGAGTCACCCAGCTGAAGAAGCAGAGAAGGTACCGGCCAGCATTGGTGGGAGCAGGAAACACTGAGGGAAGAATAAAATATGGAAAGAAGGGTGTCCACGAAAGGCGAAAGGACAACGGGCAAGGGTAGCCCCACAAAGGAGGGGAGGAGCTGTAAACTGTGAAAGATTGAGCAAGGCACATAAGTGTGCTCGGGGGGAGTCAGAGAGATGCACAGATGGAATGCGAGCCAGGGAGAGTGAGAGAGTCAGATACAGGTGTGTAGGGGCACTCGCGAAGCAAATCAAGAGCCGGAGTGAAGCACAGAGCAAGATACAGGTATACATCTTGTGATTCCACCGCTTCTTCGCCTTGTCGGCTACGTCTCTAGCACTTAATGCAAATCACCCTAGTTGTCTGCCAGTAACCTGTCGTATCTTCCTTCCTGCTCCAGCAGTCTCCACGCTTCCAGCGCCTTGCCCATCTGATCTTCAGTGTTAGAACAAAGGCGGAGTGCAGCCGCCTCTTTGTCAAGGTTCGCTGCCTTGAAGGCTTTTGCTGCTAAAGTGGCCTCGTCACACACCTTAGGCCAATTCAGCGACAGATAGAAGAACAGAAAGGCCGGCGACAGCGCAGCTGTTGCCCGCTGATTATAAAGCTCCCCCACTTCCATGGACACGCCAACCTGTTAATGCGATCCTGCTGGTGCTGCCGCTATTTCTACATTTCTATGGCAGTCTTGACGCCGGTGCAGGTGGAAGGGTTGCACTATGCCCTCGCCTGTTGTTATGTTTGATGTTTCAGTTTCCTTTCGCTGCTAGTAGTACTCGTTGCTGCTACTTGTAATGGCGCGATTCCTGCATTTTTCGCGAGAGAAATAATGCTTTGAAAATTGGTCAGAAAGCCTGACAGCGAGCTGCACTAAAGATGCGGCTGTTTTGAGCCTCCTGACCCCATAGCAGTATCAGCTGCAACCTTAGCTGCTGAGCTGCTGCTCGGATTATCACTGCTCCGTGCTGAACCGAGAAGCGCACTTGCTGCTGAAGCAGCACCTGGTGCCATTGCCAACGATCCTGTTAATTTGTTGCTCCTACCTCAGCCGCCGACGCTGTTCTTGCAGGCCCTGCTGCGCCGAAAGCTCGGCTTGGCATTTAAGCGAACGGACTGCGTGTAGCTGTGTTTGACCTAAGGGAAATTCATAAACCTATGGGAAGCAGCAGCTTGATCGATCGGCATTGCAGAGCCTGCTGTGTGTGTCTGCAGCAGTAGCAGTGACAAGGTACTTTATTACAGGCCCCAAGGGCTCTAGAGTCTCTAAAGCCTCCAGGGATCGAAATCTCCCCAGAGTGAAGCCCATCTATACGTGGGAACCTCGTGTCTATTTAACTACTGCTAAGCGTTTTGCACAACAAAAACAGAGATGTAGATCAAGGGCTTTAGGGGCCCCCACAAAGGCACCTCGGAGGCACTGCAGCACAAGTGGCCAATGGCCACGACCAGGGGGCCCGTGAGTTTGCGGTGGTGCTCCGGCTGCTGTTAGTACTGCTGCTACTGCAGGGTTACTGAGGTGCAACATTGCATGAATAAATATCAAAATGAAAACCAGGTGAACTATAGGGCCCACAGAGTCTCCATTCTTGGTTGAAGCAGTTTCACCGGGTGTGCCATTGCTTCTATGATCCTTGCTTCGCCGCTAGCTACTTGTGTGCTCCTATCGCCGTTACTTCTCTCAAGAGGTAAGCTTGAAGCTTTCCCCTTCTTAACTGTTCGTTAGTTCCCCCTTGTTTTTCCCCAGGCCTATAAATGGACTTTTGTAGAAGGTGTACGCATGTGTCACCATCCCCGCCTTGTGGCAGGCATACAGCTAGGGCATTGCGCGGCCCCACAGCCAGCTCTTGTTTTTTAACGACAGCCACAAAGTCAGCACCTAAACGAGTCCCTTGTAGCTGAATGAGACCTTCTGAAGGCTCCAGGCACTGCGGAAGGCCAGGTTAACTCTAGCTTTTTGAGCTCCGGTAGCTTTGGGTTCGTGTTTTGGGTCTAATGGGGACCCCAAAACCGACAACCAGAAGGATGACGGCCAATGAGAGCCTGTTTTCGGATCCCTTTATACTGCCTGAGAGAAAACGTTTCCGTGTGACCGCCGTATTCCCTCACTTGAATCGAAGCGCCTTTCTGTTCACGGTTTGGATTTGTGGCTTGTCTGTGCAGGGTTCGTGCCAACCGTCCACGAGAATGGACTACTTCACTGGTCCCAACGCGAAGGCTGCGGTGTTCGCAGTAGGCTCTGCCCGCTTTACCCTGCCCGCAGAAGTTATGGGGCGAGCAGATGTGCAGAGCAGCGGTTTGGTTCACGTGGTTCGGAAAGAAGGATTTAAGGATATCCCCCCAATGGTGGCTAGGACCGAAGACGGTGCTCTTCAGATCAGTAGACCGCAGCAGGGATTTGAACTCATGGTCGAGCACCTACTGGGTAAGTGAAAAAAAAGCCATGAAAAGCGCTGTGTCGACCACAAATCGCAAGGCGCACCCACAGAACTCACTTGCAGAGCATCAACAAATGTCAATTTTTAGCCGTTTAAAACTCAAACCGCTCGTACTAAGCCCTCCATCGCTAATTGCAACTCCTAAAAGGAATCGGTCTGGCGGATTCGGCTTTCTTTCTACGTGTGATTTGCTGTCTAGGCGTGGAGCCCTTGCGCGGCTGTCCCATGTCCGAGTTTGCGGAAAAATACATTGCCTTAAAAACGGAACTCCTCTACTGGCAGCTTCCAACCATTGATGTTGCATTTGACGATCCTTTGTTCTATCAATCCGCCTGGACTGGTAGGGCGTACGTGCTTGAGTTGAAAACGGAGGACGCACGGTTCTCCAAACACTTACGAAAAATATGCAGAGGCAAAGGAGCGGATATAAAAAGCGCCTACTTCTAATCCCTTCTCTGTCCTTCCTCTTTAATGCATTGCACATGTCTACTACCAGAATTTCTGAATTTCTGCGTCCTGGTCTCTCGTCCCTGCTCGGTGCCCCCACATCCTCATCAGTTGCGCTTTCCTTGGCCGCTCGTTTCTTCAGATTTGTAGTTATGCACTTGTTTCTACATGCCGACCTGTCACCCTTGTTGTATGGCTTCGACGCTTCGCTGCTAGGCTCGATGTCGGCATGTACATCACCATCTATCTGCCCACACAGGCGTCCTAGTTGTTTTCTGAGTCTGCCTACCGTTGCGTGTCTGCGTGCATGAATCTAGACGGAGACTGCTTTTTTCCACTTAGTCAGAAGGATGCCGCTGCGTTTCGTCGTTCTGAGGAAGAGGAGATGCGCCCCGCGAATTTGCTGCAGCTCGAGACAGCTCCAATGCCTGCAGAGCTTGAGGGCCTCGCTGAGGGCCCCACCACCAACTGGCAATGTTGGGCAACACCAGAACCACCGCAAATAGAAGAGGGGCAAAGGCCAGTTCAGAGAAACAGGCTGTACATTGTAGCCGGTGCGTAGCGAAATCGAAATCTGCTGGTCCGTTCATCGCTGCCATGTTTGCTGAGGAGGTGGTGGCATATGCGCATATGCCTTTTCGTGCCTCGTTTCCTTGTGTCACGCGGCGAGCTCGTGCGTGTATTTGTGCGTGTCTGCGCATGTCCGCCTGTGTACATGCTGCAGGGAAGGATCGCTTCTTTTGTGTTGTTCCTGGGCTGCGTCACCCGTGTGTACACTGTGCTACTCTGCCGGACCGCAATGGCTTTACTCCCTTGGCCCTTATGGCGGGGCCTACTGAGATGACTCTCATTTGGTCTCGCGGAGCTTTTGTGCATCTCCACGGGTTTCAAAAGAAGGCGGGGGAAATGCGATACCAAATAGACCTCATAGAAAGAGAGCCCTCATGGCTTTGCGTACATCCCACACTTGGGGCAGTTCTCTCTGGTGAGGCTTCACACGATGGTGCTTCTGCGAATACGAGCTGCTCTCTGCAAGCGTGGCTGCGCGGCGGCTATGAATGCGTAGATCGACAGGAAAAAAGGGACACGGTCCTTCTCTTGTCAGCTCGGTGGCTCTCCTTTGGCTTCAAGCGGCGATACGCAGTTTTTAGTGCGATCTTCATGTTTCCACGCGTCGTTACAGCCGTCCTGCACTCCGGCGCTTACCTTGCTTGCAATGGCTTGTTCAGGTGTTGAAGGCCCCGTGCCTCACGTCTTCTGCTTCTCAATGCCAAAGGCACATAGAGTCCGCTTCTTCCCATGGGGCGCTCTCGCGATCAGCGGGGAGGTCCTCTGCGAGCCTCCATCCACAGCAGGAGGTTTGTCTCGACTTACGGACAAGCAACAGAAGCACCGGAAGCAGACGCAGCACAAGTGATGGAGTGCTCATTTAGGGTGCTGCGGAGCTTTCACTGCTGCTCATCATCGTTTTCGGCTGTATGGTCAGGGGTTTTGGTTTTGCGCTTTGTGGTTTGTGACTTAGAAGGAACTGAAACGCATGCGCGCGGCCTGCTCGATGCGCTTGGGATGTCTACTCTACTGCCTGGCCAGTCTGAGCCGAAGGCGGTTCTGGCGGGGACGCTCCTCAGGTTTATCAACAAGGCATTCCAGCAGCCTCTCCGCATTTTCTTTCTCAACGTCGAGAAAGATGTACGTTTCGAGGTTGAAAGTTAAAGCACTTACAGTTCGCACTCTCCAGCAGAACAGAAGGTCTCATGTTCGAAGGTGCAGTTTGTAAGGTGTAGGTTCTCAAATTGTAATCCTGCTGCTCGCGAGTCACTGCATCCAATTTTACCAGCCAAAACTTGGATCTTACGGTGTGCGATTCGTGGTTTGATTCCGTGGCTTACAGGGGCAGCCGGTGACGCTGCGCCGTTTGGCGGATTTCGACATCCATGACCTGCGAAACGAGGACTCTAGCGGTTTCAGCGTCATGGTGGCTCTCAGAGGGGCTCTTGCAGAGACAAGGGTAAATGTATAGAGGTGTTGCACTACACCACAAATTTGTGGGGACGTTTCGTTCTGTTTCATTACTTGAGCTGCAAATATATGGTGCAGCTAGTGTGTTTCTTCATTATGTGCTGCCCGTTGTTGCTGATGGTGTAGGCCTTCATACTGCTGCTGTGGTCATCGTATTTATAGCCTGTAAAATTACTTTCTGGCCAGTGTTTGTGTGGGGGCGGCGAACCGGTACCTTCAGGCTGACTCCGCTGTTGCAGACAAGATTAGGGGCGGTCGGGCCCTGGTCTTTCCTATCAACAGCAAAGGGGATTTTGTTAAGGAAAGCCAAGTTCTCATAGACAACGGTGGTCCAAGGAGAGAAGAGCTCATCTCGATTGCCCTCTACGGAGAGTATGACTGCGAAGCTGGTGGGGCATTTGTTGCCTGTAGAAATTGGAAATTAACGTAATAGCTTACGGTTGACTCTCACGATTTACAGTACAGTGGAACGAATTGGCGATTAGGGAAACCAACACATCTATTGATTGAATGAAGCTTGCCATGTTCACTGCTGGCGTCTTAGTTCCTTCCGAATGGCCAATAGTTTTACGTTTTGGCTACGCCTTCTGGTTTGGGGTTCTCCGGGCTTGCGGTTTGCAGGAAAGTACAATGTATTTGAAGCTGGAAAACGGCTCTATGAATTCCACAAGCAAATGTTCATGACTCGAAGCATGGGGGGTAATAGCGGATGTAATGTCATGTGAGAGGCTAATGATAGCTAGTTCACTTTCTGTGTGTAACTCTTCCGAGTCTCGAAGACCTGCGAATACTGAGCTGCCACTAAAAAGTCCCCAAGATTTTAATTAGCGTAGATACTTGCTTGGAGGCAGGTTCCTACGGACCCTAGCAGCAGCAAAACCGGTGCCTTTACGGGCCTTCCCAGTAGTATACCATGAGCGTTTCAGTGCATGCGAATATCTTCACATGAAGTAATAGCACGGCTGAACTTGTGCAGCATATGTTGCGCCTGTGGTCTGTCTTCGCGAACTTCAAGTGGAACGCCTCTAGGGGCCGCTATAAGGGCTCTTTTGGAACCAGCGTCGCGCTGTGAGGCGGCTCGTCTCGTTATTAAGTTGTGCGTAGAATCATCAACACGGCAAACGCTCTTGTTGTTCTCGTCCTTTTTTCTTCCTGCTTGGGAACGCAATGTTTTAATGCTCTTCCTTCAACCGTATGCACCTCTTTTAAGCATAGACAGGGCTTTATATGGGGTACTCACATTTAAGCAGCACTATCGAAAGGGACACACAACGTGACGTAAACTTTCCATCTACTGCCTTCACAGGCAGATGCTTTGCCCCAGACTTGATGCACACTCAGGACACAATTAATGAGTGTTAATCATAAAACTCCTGTCTTTTCCGATTGTCCCTGAGAGGTCTTTGACTAGGAGAGGGGGGCAGGGACAGCTAGGGTGGGCGGACCTGAGCCTTCCATGCACTCCAAGCATTTGCGGGTAGTGGAGCATAGCGTTTAGAGCACAAGAACACATCATGGAGCCTTGCAGTACATAGATAGATGTACCCTGCAATACCAGACGAACCAATCAGTCAGTTCTCTTCTACTTCTGTGTGTAGCTTAGCCGTCTACGTCTTCCCTTCCATGTTCAACTGTAGAGCACATGCGCAGTTGTTCCGTACCTACATGTCTAGTCCGACTGCGTGCAAGACAGCAGAAGGGCGTTCGCCGTATAGTCACCCCCCAGGTATCCACTAAAGGTTAAACAAGTGAAAATAAGAGTCCAAGCGTTCATTGACCAGGCAAAATAAGCTGATGGAAAGAAAAACACACAGACTAGCCAGCAACGAACGAGGGAGCAAACGAAGAGGACCACGGCCGTGCGATGGTTCGTCGTTGTCGGAGCGCTGGAAGCTATGAGCCTCCTGGAATCATGAAAGACGACCGCCAGTAACACGCGTAAATCGAGTAAAAGTACACAATAATTCAGCTGTGCCTCCATTTGTCATAGAGCAACATATGCATGCAAATAGGGTCTGTGTAAGCAGCAGAGACGATTTCAGAGCCCTGAAGCAGGCATTACGAAGAATAAGGGGACATCAAACGTTTAAGTGCCTGCTCATGAATTGAAGGTGGAGAAAATCTTCGAAAATGGTTACTGGAATTGTTGAAAGCAATACCCACAGGAGATGGTATGTGCTTCAGGCACCTCTAGCCAAAGGACGCTATAAATAACTTCCATGGCAACTAGCCTTGTTAGCTGAACAGAGCAGCGAATTTTCATGTTGGCAACACAGCTCACAACTGTTTCTTCGCCGATGGCTGAGGTGGGCCATCCCTATTCCGCTTCACTAGAAACTCCCATATAGTGCGTCCTCAGTACACTTGCAGTACATTACTTCCACTGCCCTCTGTGGATCCTACGCATAAACAGGGGCCACCTGCATACGCGGCGAATACCGCGAAAATTTCAAGGAGCTTCCAGAGTGCTCTGTGATACCAATATTAACACTTCTGCGGCCTCCAACCCTTCTAAGGATTTAGAATGATAGGAAAGAGCTTTGTTTCGTGATAGAATCGCATGCTGTGCTAGCCACATGGCCGCAAACGTCTTTATCCGCCCGTCTTAAGCCCCCCTCGTGAAGCCTGCCAGTCCACCAGTACCGACTTTCGGAGATCTGAACACGCAGTCAACCACCGCCTGGCGTTATTCCGCACTTATATCTCTTGTGGTTTGAGCATGCATTTGCGCGCACTACCCAGCTGTTCTCCCAATCCAACCACCTATATGGTCGGTCACTGTCCTCAGACCACCAGGTCCTGGTTGGAATCGGAGAGAGCCTTTTAATCGTAGACCAAGGATGCGGGAGGGTAGAGTGTGTGTGAGCCATCGGCAAACGGGCTGTGTTCCACAGTGCTGAGTCGCTCGGAGGACGCGGCAGCCTGTAATTGACCAACTGGGTGGCGTCCCCAGTGTACGTTTCTCTAAAGTCGTACTGCAGGAGGCGCCCAAGCCAGCGAACACATCTAAGCCTATTAAACTCTTGGAAAGTTATCTAGAGATACATCAACGAGTGATGGTCGGTCTAACCGGCGATACGACATCCATATAAATAGTGCAAGCATTGCCCAAGTCCTTCCACACCATATAAAGTTTCTTTTTCGCAAAGTTATCGCTTCTCGACCCCTGCAAAACGTTTAGAATAACACGCAATACTAATATGCTCTGGGGAGCACGTAGCTTGAAGGAGAAAGATATCACTCACCTCATGTCAGTAGGACTGGTTGCTAGGACAGAATAATGCCTATTCTCCGAAGTCGCAAGTACCCTTAATTTGGTAGGGCGGCTGATTAGCGTCTTTGCCAGGCCATCAGCTTCCTGTGTCCAAGGAACACGGTGCATGCTGAAAAGGTAGATCAGTGAAAAGATCGGCGATTAAAGCAAAGAAACGGAAAAAATATCAGGTAGACGGTGCGAATTTGAACACTTGCGTGCGTTGCATGCTACTGCGTGTCGCGCCACAGCTGAAGCCCATGATGTGACTGCCGCAGGTGCTCTTCAATGTGTAGATTGTAAACTCACACGTCATCCATAGACATAGTCATCGAGCCCCTTCTTGATCAGTTCAGTAACATCCAGAATAACTTGCTATTGCAGCATACGTGGAGTCCTGATAAAGTCAAACAGCATACAGGAACACTCAAGTCTGCGAGTGCAAGGGTGGAGCGCCCCTCTGGGCCTGTTGGCAGGCGAATAGGGATTTGTAAGAATCCGTCCGGTAAGTCAAATGCGATGTACGCTCTAGATCCAAGTGACGTGTCAAGCTTTTCACGAATATGAGGCTGAATCACATTCTGCTTAAAAGTAATCTTGTTGGTGGCTATGCTGACTACAGGCGGGGATAGCTTGAGGTTGACCCAGGGACTAGCTCAAAACGGTGCGCCGGACGACCAGCAGGTGACCAGCCTTTTGACAGCCCTTTATTAATCAGCACGTCCGCAAGCATCTCTTTCATGCTTGCCCATTCTTGCTGTTTCTGCCCCAACGCTCTTTCATGTTATCTAGTTAGTAGCCTTCTGCACACCCACTTATGTGGGATACATGATCAAACCCGCCTTTAGTTCCTGCGCTGCAGACGTTGCCACTCCATGCGTTCAGCAGCCCGTCAGCAAGCTTGAGTCCTCTGCAAAGCGCTAAAGGATGAAATGGCGGAGTGCAAAGCTCCCGCTCTCTCCTCCAATACTACCTATCTAATTTCATGTAAGATTAGCTATTCTTTAGCACTTAATTAAGCTAGTTACACCGCAGCATTGACCCCAGTTAGGTCCCCAACTGCGGTGCCATCATCTGAAGCCCTATTCAGCGCGCCGCTGCCTGTGCGGATGGCTTGCCGTTTCTCCTGTGTGCCTTCTTTCCTCACCAGGGAGCGTTTTGCTGGCTTCAGCCCTGCTATGAAAAGTCTTTGGCACCTTGCATACATGTTTACTTGAGGACTAAATGACGAGCTTTTTCACGGGTAAACAAGTGCGATGTTGGTGAGATGTGTCGGACTGCATCGTGGCAGGGGTTCCCTCTGGCATCTTTGGTTTTGTCTATTTTAAAGAATAGACTAGGGTCGAATGAAGCAGCCCCGATATTGTGGGTTAGTTTTTACTGCGGGTCTTTTTATTGAATCAGAGGCGTAGGAATCGTGCTTGTTTGCTCCGAAAACCCAAGTTTTTCATTATTTGTGTACGCCCCACGAATCGCTTTTGAATACGCTGAGTCGGCCCTCTTTGCGCCACCACCTGACTTGACTATTCGAATGCGTAGCGGGAAACACCACACTGAACACTTACTGACCTGAGTCCTGTTAGATAGGTTAATGCAGAATTACTTAGTTAAATGTCTTTTCGCGCTTTTTATTTATATTGGAAAGCTGTTTACTCAATACAGGAAGATCCACTGTTGTGTTCTTGTGCACAAGATGTTTGGTGCTACCAGCTCGATATTCTTCGAGTCCTGAGAGGGTGCCGCTACGCTTGACCGTGACTGTCCCTGCCCCCTCATATGGGAAACACCGAGGGGCGTAGGCACATGAAGCCGGAAAATGTTCTGCTAAGTGCTTAATAATTGTGTGTTGAGCTTGGTTAGAGTCAGGAGCCTAGTGTCTGCATGCAGAAACCTTCGAGGGAAAGTTACGTTTGACAGCATTGCACGGCCCCATGTAGCTCTTCCCCAATCATTCGTTTTCTGTGGACCAGATTTCCCTTCAAAGATTGCATCGCTTTAATCAATCCATGTAGTCATTCAGCAAGCTGAATTCTGTCGACAACTGCTAAGGTAATCAAACCGTCTTGTAAAGGAAGCCGGCGGTGGCACAGCGCCTGTTGGCGTGGCACAGGCTCGCCGGCAAGCTGATATAAACTTAATAGCTTCACAGCTGACAAAACAAGATGATTGAAGGTCAATAAAGTGTCTCTGGAGGCGTTGACCAGCTTATGTAAGGCAGACAGGTGTGACAGCCCTAAAGATGGGCAAGTAAGCACAAATTTTATCAGCTAGTTTGGATATACTTTACCTGCTACCTGCAGATGATCAGATGAGAATGTTTCTTGTAACGCTTATTGAATGAAGAGGCACTGCAACGATAGCTTAACATCTGTGGTGTGTACCTTCTGTTTGCAGAAATTACTGCAATCTAAGCCTTCACACAAGCCCGAACGCCAATCAGCTTAGCAGCAGGGTTTGCGGGACTTGAGAACAGTAGAACATGGAACTCGTTTAGGAGATCGGTGTCGCAAGAGAAACAAATATTTGTCTCCTAAAAGCCACAACCTAGATTGACAATGGATTTACACATCTGGCCCAAGTGCCACCTCAGGTAGTCGTACATTGCGCGGCGGCACCTCAGCGTTTCAACAACCCGTAGGGTGTACACAAATGATAGAAGACCTGAGTTTCAGAGCGAATAAGTGCGACTCCTAAGTCTTCAGCCAACATCCAAAGAGCCACAGCAAATTGTTACATTCATAAAATCGGGGCTGCTTCAATCGACCCCAGCCTGGAGTCAGCAGTGAACGAAAAAGTACCAGAAGGAACCCGTTTTCTAAGCAGTCACACTCAGCCCCCCAACATCACACCTGTTTGTCGAAAAGTGGGTCCATTAGTGACAAAAACGATGCATGTTAAACGCCAAAGACCTTTCATAGCAGGACTAGAACCAGCGAAAGCAGGGTCCCTGGCGAGCAAAGGAGGCGTATCAGAAGAACAGCAAGCCATCCACACACGCCGCGGTGCACTGACGGGGACTTCAGAGGATGGGTCCGCAGTTGGAAACTCATCTGGAGTCAATTCTGCGCTGCTACAGGTTTGATTAACTGGTAAAGAATTGCGTATATTACGTGAGCGGACCTGCTCATTAATGAAGGGCTATCAGGGCGCTGGCCACCTGCTGGTCGTCAGCGTACCATTCTGAGCTAGTCAGGCTCAAGCCCTCCCCGGCAATATTCAGCACATCCAGCGGGCATGTGCTGGACTACAGGAATGTTTCTGATAACATGGTGTGGAAAGGCCGGCTCCAATGACCGGTACAGAGGTACTTGCGGGCTCCGTTCCCGCCACGAGAAGTCGCGGAACTGTCAGGCTGAAAAGGCTAATTGCCATGAAGGGCGTTTATTGCGTTCCTTGGCAATTGTCCTTCCTCAGCAATTGATCTAGCTATCGCTAGTCCCATTTATGGACATTATCTGAAAAGGGGTCGGTCGTTTTTTGATGGCAATCTCTGCATTAAGTTTGATGGGCAGGCACTCTAAGGTCCGCTGTTCCATCATTCTGCCTTAGGCCTTTCCTGAGGCATTGAAGTAAATTATTTTAAATGCAAGAGCTGAAGCTGCATGCATCTGTTGCTCTATGACGCCTAAAGGTACTGCTAAACCAAAGTGTATTTTCCTTTACGCTACACAATCTATTGTGTTTTTGTTTGGCAGAGTAGGAGGCTCACACATTTAAGCGTACCAACAGCGGCAAGCCATCGCTTCTCCGCGGTCCTGCTTCTTTGGCCCCTCGTTCGTTGTTGGCTAGTGTGCGTCTTTATTCCCATCAACTTCTCTTTTAGCGTTTAATGTACCCATCTAGCTTCTCATTTGCACATTTTGAGTGTTTTCGGCAGCCAGGAGAGTGGGGGCATGGTGAGAATTCTCGTGGTGTCTTGCATGTATCAGGTAGACGGTGCAGTTACGGAATCGGGTGAATGTGTTTTTAAATGGGGGACAGCGGGTGAAAGATGTGGCTAGCTAGGATTCACTTAAGATGTTCTAGAACACCGATTATATTGCTTAGGAATTGATAACACATAGTTAGTCTGCTAGGCTAGGATGTATGCTCTTTAGTGCAGAGTACAGTTAACTCAATATATTACGCAGCAATGATGTGTTCGTGTCCTTGATTGGAAGCACGGGAGCGTCGGCAAAGTGCTTAGAGCGTGCACTAACCTTCACTCTAGTTTTCCGTAGCCTATCATGTCGGGAACGTTTAGGGGCTCCGGCAGGGGAAGGTGGCAGCCCAATTAAAGTGATTCCTCCCTGTACGACGCTCACTACATAAATAAACGCACCACTGCAGTGTGTCTCCCTCCAATAATACATCCTACAGAAAACAATTGTTTCACATCATATTAAGTCCAAGGCAAGGCACGTCCTTTACTGACCAATGCAAAAGTTTTCAACTTGGTTATCGTCATGGCCGTCGCCTTTCTGCCTTTTATACCTCATCCAACACTTCCATCGACGTTTAATCAGCCTGCTAATAATGCTGGTCTTAGGCTATGGAGCTATCGGGTCTAAATTAGCTTGCAAGCTACTCCTGCCACCCTAACAGGCGTGCCATAGTGTGTTTCCACGTGCACAGGTTCTTCTTTCTTTGACTGTTGCCAACAAAAATCAGTTTGTTCAGCCGTCAAAAAATACTAGTGAAACCTGACAGCTGTTGCAGGGGAGCCTATAATCTCATTGCATCCACATAGAGTCAGTGGATGAGCGGAGATCAGCTGCATAGGACCACGCGATGCTGCAAACTGTTACGCTTTGTCTAAAACTCCGTAGGCAAACAGTTCACTCCAAAAGACGTAGCAGTAGACAACAACTGAGTGTTTCTCGAATGCGCATCCTGGCGTTCCTCTGCCTTTGCTTCTCAGAGTTTCCTACATGAGGGGAGAGAGGCAGCTGGGGTGCACGTAAGCCCTTTCCTACAGCACTCCGAGCATCCACAGGTCATTGCACACAGCATGTACGGTGCGCGTGAACGCTGCGTCTTTCTTAATCCAGATAACAGTACTCTGCCGTAAAATAAAATATACGAACAGACAAACTAATCAGCCAACACGTTACTAATGTTCCACTGAACAAAGCTAGTGGAGTAGATGATGCGAACACAGCTGCCCTGCCACACCACCGGTGGGCCCCTTGACGCCCCGCACTAAATCGAGAGTTTTTCATAGCTTATCTATGCTTCAGCTGTTTGTGAGGAGAGTAAGCGAGGATACGTAGAGTGCAAAAGGATCAGATGACTGCACACATATGCTGTGATAATCACAGAAGGGGGAACGGGTGCTTTTGGGTGTAGGAAATGGCCAAGCATTTTAACAGTTTCAGGAACATGCAGTAAGCATAGCAGACTTGAAGCACATTGCATGGCGCTACTCTCTTGATCTCAAACTGTTTAGCATTGAGTCTTCACCCCTGAGCTCGAATCTCGAAGTGGTGTGTTGCTACACAGAGACTTCGCCCGTGAATAAGGCCAAAAGTTGATCTTCGGGACTCCTGTAAGGACTAAAGAGCAGCTGGAGCATTCTGGCCGCGTCTATTCCAATAATACAGGAGGAGACAACAGCAGGGGGCCCTCATTGGCGTTCGCAGGAATATCCTTGGGGCCCCACGAAGGGTGCACTCAGGCCCCCATCAAGTTCAAGGGAGCGGTGTACAACAAAATTCTTTCATTATATTTTTGCAGCCGTAACTCGGGGCTCAAAAGTGTTCTTCGTGTGTCAGAGTAACCTTGGGACCACCCCGATTGTCTACTTCTGCAGTGCCCTCTACGATTTTTGGGCAATCGGACGAACCAATAAGGATTTGCTGATGGACCTACCACAGCTCATGGATCTCGACAAATATGTGCTCTTTAGTGCGTTGCTGCTATTGCTGCAGCAGCAGCAGTAAGAGATCTTGCCTTCGGTCCACACGGTTTGGCAGTGTCCAGGAGGAACAATGACAGCCATGGGTATGCTAGCAACAGCCACAGAGCCAAACGCAACGCCGCTCGCAGCAATGAGAGAATTCGTACCTGAAACAGCGGCGCCACAGGCAGGTATACAAGGAACAGGACCAACTGTGTCACCACGAGCTCCTAGTGATCTGGTACCCGTTCTTCCTGACATCTTGTGGTGCGATGCTGCTGCTGCTGCTGCGCTTCCAGCTGCAGTAGACGCTTCGCTGTTTTCTGCTTGCCTTGACTCCCCCGAAAAGCTCTCAGTGCCGTACAAAACTAGAGTACCGCCCGTGGTGCCTCCGTTATTGCAGCATACACAGGACCTTCCTGATAAGCGGCAGCACCTACAAGCGCTCCAGGCGACGCATCAGCTGCTGCGGATACGGGGTGTAGTGACACGTAAGCAGTCTTTGGGCAGGCGGTTGTGTTTCTTTGATCTCATGCAACAGCATACTAAAACAACAGCGGCAGCAGCAGTAACAACGGTCGATGCAGGAGCGATTCCGGCAGAGAAAAGGGCAGATTCTGATGCAGAATTCGAATCAATTCTACCAGGCATGGCACTAGCACATCCACCAGCAGCTGCAGAAGTGTGCCCACCATCTGTGAAGTACGCTGCAATCTGCTGCAGCGTTTGCTCGTCGGATCTCGGGGGGCTGGATGTACACCGTTGCGTGTCAAGGAAAATTTGCTTGGGAGATTTTGTAGAGGCTGTTGGCCTTCTAGAAAGGAAGGCTGACTTATCCCATTTGAGCCAAATCAAGCAACAGCTAGTAAGTCACGTGACCTAATTTACAACCCCCAAGGCGTACGCTACAGTAACATTATGCACTAGTATCTTAATTATAGACCTTCAATCCGATTGCACAGAACTAAAATCGTGCGTTTGGTGGGATTACAGACCGTAAGCAATAAACGCCAACTCAACGAGCTGATTCGTACGGGCAAGGCCTCGTATAGAGACAGCTGCGTCGATAAAACGACATCATGAAAGAGTCTTCTTTAGAGCTTTGTGGAAGGCGTGCACTAGCTAATGCTAAAGCCATTTGGCGGATTTGTATCTACAATTCTGATTGCGTTTGCTGTTCACCGCTGCTGCTGAAGGGAGGAACCCTAACAGAAAGAGACCCAACGGAAATTCTGCAGGTGACCCGATCCATTGGCTTCAAGGTGTTAGCCCTCCGCGCACTTAGATCAGTGGAACAAGGTGCAGGAGCAGCAGCTGCAGCCGCCGCTGCACAAAGGGTTAAGCTTCAGTCACGCTTGCTGACTCACCGGCCGGAGGCTCCATCCGCATCAGCGGAGGCGGGAATAGGGCAAGCCACATCAGGAACAGATGGAGAGGCAGCAGATGAAATAACGACAGCACTTATTTCCAGAATTTGCAAAATGTACCTTGTTTCAGGGAGTTGCAGGCGCTTGGCCTGCCCGCTGATGCACATCAAGGACGGCAGAATGAGGAGACACTTCGACATTTTAAAAGCTCAGCGGCAGGTGCGGAGTGTGCAGCGGCAGCTCCTCCTACCACAGCAGCATCCCCAAGTGCTACAGCCACCACTGCCTCATCTTCCCGATCATGTGTCTACTGTTCCCTCATCTTCTGCAATCACGCTGCAGTGCAGCTCCTGCCCACCCCCTGACTGCCGGCAGCCAGAACAGCAGATTTATTCGCCACAACGGATATATCCACGGAGCATTCGTGGTGCAGTATTTGCTGAGTGGCTCATATCTACTTACGGCGCAGAGCGTCTTAGTAAAGGCTCGGGAGTCATCGAAGTTGCCGGTGGCAGAGGAGAACTTGCGTTCGAGTTGACAGTAAAATACAATGTGCCAGTTACTATAATTGACCCGAGGTGCACGTACACCACTAAAAGTTTAGCCGTGCAGCCACAAGATGCCCGAAAGGAATGGGAGCAGCTCTCGTGGGGGCTACCCGAGTGCTCCGAGGAGCAAGACGCCACAGCCGGCATCCCGGGAGTTAGAAGTACATGTTTTCGTGGGGTCTTGAGTTCCGCTATGAGTAGCGGGAGCCGGCGGTCTTTAGAGTGCCCCCTTCGCTTGAGCCGTAGACAGGCAAATTGGATGTTGCGCGAGAAGGGATTAAAGCGGAAGGAAGCTCAAGAGTTTTTTGTCAGTTCGGTCGAGACAATCCCCGCAATGTTTGATGGGACCCTTCTCAGCCGTAGTCCCTACGTTCGCGAGAAGCTTTTGAAGGCCTCGGCTATTGTTGGGCTACACCCGGATGAAGCGACAGGAGACTTGTTGCAAACGGGACTAATTGTACGTGAAATTAGGCACAGATGGAGCCACAATGAGAGGAGCATTACCGACAGCATGCGCAGCATCAACAGCATTGCAAAAACCATGGAAGAACACGTACAGCAACAGCAGAAACGACAGTCTGAGGAACAGAAACAGCATGGTGATGCGTCGGAAGAGCTCCCGGATGTGGCTCTGGCGGTTGTCCCGTGCTGTGTGTTCTCAGAAAAATTCCCCCATCGTCTCGTACCACTTACTGCAGCGGAAGCAGCAAATGTCTCTCCAGCAGCAGCGGCAGCTGCTGCTGCAGCGGTATTCGATACAACAGTTGGTACCGCATCACTGGAAAAAGAAATAAAGGATTCCACTGCAGAGGGCCAACGAGAAGCGCAGGCACACGTGTGTAATACAGCTGGAATAGACACAATAGCAAGTGAAGTTTTGGCTGCACGTGGAGAGACCCCCGCTGTAGACGCTTCCCAGTTGTGTGGGAATGATGCAGAGGTTCAGCCGTTTTTGGTATCACCTTCACAGTCTTGTAGATCAGGTGTCCATCTGTTTATGGCTGAAGCGGAGTCGAGTGGGCAAGTCCGGGTCAGGACTTATGAAGAGTTGCTACTTTGGCTTCACCTCAGTGACCCACGGCGGCGATTGCACCAGCAAACGTTGCCGCTTGTAGGCAAGAATCAGGTCGTTTTTTTACCCCCTTAGCTTGGCGCCCAACTAGGATGCATCCGTAACAGAAACAATCTCTAGGAACTCATACTGTTGAGTGTATCTGGTCGAGCTAAACTTCAACATGATCATATAATTATTGCTTGTTATTATGCTCGCTTCGCTGAAGCCTAGCAATGTTAACCATTGCGAAAAAGCAAACGTTATGTGATGTAGTGGGATTTGGGAAATGCTGGCACTATTTATATTGATGTCATCTCTTTGGTAAGATCGACCATCTCTCTTTTATGTATTGATAGAAGAGGTTTTAGGACTATGACAGTGTTGGAGGTGTTAACTATTCAGTGAAGAGTTAATTAAGAAATGATTAGTTGGTTTGCCTGTTTGCACATCTTGCTTATTGCACAGTATAGTAAGCACCATATGACAAGACGCAATATTGTGGCCATACGCCCTAGGCAGTATCTGAGACTATCAGTTGATGCTCGGATTGCTCAACGGAAGTAGCAAAGCGCAGCGTGGCTGCCGAATTCCCTCTCCTCTCATGCCAGAAATTCTCAGGGCGACGGGCAGAGGAAGCCGACGGCACTTTTAAGAAGTATCCAACAATTATGTGTTACCCAGGGTCCAATATGGTAAGTGTCCCCCTACTTATAGCTTTCATAGCGTGTTACGTTTGATAGCATTGCAATGTTCGAATTGCCTTTTCCCAGCTCATTGACTGGTTGTGGGAACAACGGGTAGTCAAGCTATAGGTCAATAGTTTTCTGGCATAGATCAATCAGTTCACCAATCAATATTCTGATTAGCGTTGCCTGCAGTTCTGCTAGGCAAAAATACTTCAGCGACGGAAGTTGACGGTGATACGAACCCTACTGGAGCGGTACAGGCGAGCCTGCAAGCTGAAGTGAACGCAACAGATCCACAGCTGATAAGAGAGCATGTTTTCCAGTTGAAAAAAGCTTTTGAATGCGCCGATGAGACTATGCAAACCAGAATTGCATGCCGGCCGCGAGGACCAGCAATATTCAAGAATTTCAACAGCCAGTTCAAAGCGTGTATCTCCCTCCATCCCAGATAAAGGGAAACAAGTGCTTCTTGTGGCAATTCTATTGGACAAGAAAAGAGCTTGACTGCAGGGTTTTTATATGAAGGGCTCTACTAGGAGGAAATGCTATAGTTCACGCCTTCGTACAGGCACTGGCTCATCGATTTATGCCGCGACCAGGTCACCAGCAACCTGTTGTGAAAAGTGAACAGTGAAGCAGGGGAATACAGCAATAGATCGGTCTATTGAGGCGTTTTGAGCTTCCATCCACAAAAGGCACAAGGTAGGCAAACAGATGCTCTATAGTGGTTTTCCTTAGATCTAGCCGAAGGGTCACGTCATGTGGTAGCGCAATGGGCTGCAACTCAGCGATCAAACAACTAGGCAGTGGGGCATGCACAAATGATGGACTACTTGAGGTGTCAGGGGCAAGTAAGCGCAGATCCTGAGTCTCAAGCTGAAGGGAAAAAGCCTAGCTTAGAGTCAAAACCTAAAATATCAGGGCTGCGTCAATCGATCCGAGCCTAGAGTCGTCAGCGAACGAAAAAGTACCAGAGGGACTCCGCTATCCTAAGCAGCCCCACACCTTCAAGCTTGCTGCCGGGCAGCTAAACACATGGACTGGCAACGCCGCTGCAACTGAATGCCATTTTAAAATTTCCTTGGGTCATAAAAACCTGGTCCGTGGCTTAATGTTGGACTCGTGAGTCATGAGGTAATCTTGGGTATGCCGTGGGGCACGTAATAAAAGGCAAGCATGCGACCCCAGTGGCGCACTGTGGAGGATAGTGTATCAGGAAGTGCGAGAAAAAGCGTCTTTATCCACGGGAAGTGGGTTAGAGTCGGTAGCTCAGCAAGGCGAGGCAGAGTTTTCATGCAGGCGACACAGCAGCCCAATAATTGAAGACGGTATTAAGCATGCATATTATCTTAATGGGTGTGCGACTGGCTGCTATCTGGATAACATAAACGAGCGTTGGGGCGGAAACAGCAAGAATGGGCAAGCATGAAGGAGGAGCTTGTAGACGAGCTCATCAATGACGGCTACGGGCTCCCAGGAGGCTGGTCACCTGCTGATTGTCCAGCGCATCGTTTTGAGCTAGTCCCTGGGTCGTCCTCAAGCTATCTCCCGTGGTAGTCAGCACAGCCAGAGTGTGAAAGCGAGACTGTGCGGCAGGCGGATGGCTTGCTGAACAAGGCATAGTGCAGGAAGTGGCTAGGTCCTTCGGGCAAAAGCCAGTGCTGGTGCGGACAAACCACAACAGTGAGCGCATTAGGGTTGATGCTTGGCGATTACCGCTGACCAAACTGCGACGCTGCCTCATACTTAAAAGGCTTGGCAAGTTACGCACATCTAGAGCCTACATCGCATTTGACTTAACGGGCGGATTCTTACAAGACTCCCATTCGCCCTATTGACAGGCTCAAAGCGGCACTGGCGGACTTGAGCTTTCCTAAATGCTGTTTGAGCTTATGAGGACTCCAGCTAAGCTGCCGTAGCAAGCTATTCTGGATGCAACCGAGCCTATCAAGAAGGGGCTGCATGGCTGCGTGTATCGATGGCATATGAGTTTACAATCTATCTGTCAAAGCGCACCTGCAGCAGTCGTCACGGGCTTCAGCTGTGGCGCGACAAGCAGCAGTGTGCAACGCACGCGCGTGCTTCAATTTGCACTTTCTACCCGAAATATATATCCGTGCTTTTGCTTGGATCGCTGATCTTTACACTGATCTGCTTTTAAAACATGCACTCAGTGACTTGCACGCAGTAAGCTGATGGCCAAGCAAAAACGCCTATCAGCCGCCTGACCAAATCGAAGGTACTTGCAATGTTCGTCAATGAGCATTATTTTGTCCTAGCGGCTTATCCTAGTGGGATGGGACTGAGTGATGTCTTCTCCCTTCAAGCTACAAACTCCCTAGAGTACATAATTATTGCATGTAATTCTGATCGCTTCGCCGGGGCCGATCAGCGCTAGCCGTGCAAAAGGAAGCCCTTATGTGGTGTGGAAGGATTTAGGAAGTGCCGGCAGTATTCATGTAGATGTTATCTTTCTGGTGAGGCCGACCAGCACTGGTTCATCTATTGTGCAGCGAAACTGCTGTTGGCTGAGAATTCACGGGTTCAATAAAATTGCCTCCGGCGTATGCATTTTAAATCATTGCGTCTGCTACTATTTCCAAAATCCAAAATGGCAGAAGGGTAAAGGACTGCCACGTTGATGATGGTCTGACATTGTTCGGACAAAGTGGGGACTGCGTCGCATACACAATCGACTTTGCTCCGCAGTGCCGTGTTGAGCACCATGAGTTTTTCTATTGGTTTACGGTGAGTTTTACACTACACTAAAAAGGCTTTCACGGTTCATGTGGTGCAGTGGGAGCCTCTTCCAGCAGAGATGTACGCACTGTCATGCCCAGGTTCTCAGCAGCTGAAGCCACACATATCTCCCAACCGGAAACTCTAGCAAAGGCTTCTAGTGACTAGAAGGTTTTGCACTCACCTAATATATTCGGCTGTAGCAAAGGCCAAGGGTCAGGATAGTGCTATGTAGTTTTCGACAGACTCAGCAAATATGCCTATTTCATCCGTGTCTTCAGCTCTAGTATAATTCAGGAAGTCGCTCACCTTTCCAGTGCAGGCGTGGATACCGAGTCCTCAGGAGCATCATCCAGGAAGGAAATCTCAAGCTTCTTAGTGCATGGTGGTGTGCCTTTAGCCCCGCACAATGACCATCGTATGACCACCGCGACGCAGTATAAGGCATGTAGACAGGCACAACGCACTGACCTCACTACTGGGCAGTTTTCAGAACTCAATGCAAGCAAGCAGCTGATTGCTTGACTTTTTTTCCATTCTTGTGCTAGGTAGGTTAACACTTTGGAAAGGTACTCGTCTACCTCCCTGCGTCCCTGGTCTACTCTAAGAAGCCCCACTTCGATCTGGACCTGGATCTGGTTATCCGGAATCAACAGCCACCCATATCCGTGGGTGGGTTGGGAGAGAGCTGGCTAGCGTGCGCAAGTGTATGCTCGAAGCACAATAAAGATAAGATAGAAATTACGCCAAGTGGTGATCGGCTGTGTGGTTTGATGCGGGAAATTTGGTTCTGGTGGATTGGCAAACTCCCCAAGGTGGATTAAAGCCGACTACATAGGGACCTTGGCGGCCAGACTGCTCAGACTTCGTGCTAATCCCTCACAGAGCACCTCCTTTTCGTACTCCATGCATTTTGCCAAAGATTGGAGGAGCCACAGGACTACCAATATTCATAATATAAGGAAGTTCTGAAACTACCCGAAGTACTTGCGAATTCTGCCGCGCATGCATGTAACCCCCGTATAAGCGAAGGATGCATCGAACAGTGGAAGTGCTGGACTCAGGGGTGTTTCTGATAACATGGTGTGGAAAGGCCGGCTCCAATGGCCGGTACAGAGGTACTTGCGGACTCCGTTCCCGCCACGAGAAGTCGGGGCTCTGCCAGGCTCAAAGGCTAATTGCCATGAAGGGCGTTTATTGCGTTCCTTGGCAATTGTCCTTCCTCAGCAATTAATCTAGCTATCGCTAGTCCCATTTATGGACATTATCTGAAAAGGCGTCGGTTGGTTTTTGATGGCAATCTCTGCATTAAGTTTGATGGGCAGGCACTCTAAGGTGCGCTGTTCCATCATTCTGCCTTAGGCCTTTCCTGAGCATTGAAGTAAATTATTTTAAATGCAAGAGCTGAAGCTGCATGCAGCTGTTGCTCTATGACGCCTGAAGTTACTGCTAAACCAAAGTGTATTTTCCTTTACGCTACACAATCTACTGTGTTTTTGTTTGGCAGAGTAGGAGGCTCACACATTTAAGCGTACCAACAGCGGCAAGCCATCGCTTCTCCGCGATCCTGCTTCTTTGGCCCCTCGTTCGTTGTTGGCTAGTGTGCGTCTTTATTCCCATCAACTTCTCTTTTAGCGTTTGATGTACCCATCTAGCTTCTCATTTGCACATTTTGAGTGTTTTCGGCAGCCAGGAGAGTGGGGGCATGGTGAGAATTCTCCTGTTGTCTTGCATGTATCAGGTAGACGGTGCAGTTACAGAATCGGGTGAATGCGTTTTTAAATGGGGGACAGCGGGTGAAAGATGTGGCTAGCTAGGCTCCATTTAAGATGTTCTAGAACACCGATTTTATTGCTTAGGAATTGATAACACATAGTTAGTCTGCTAGGCTAGGATGTATGCTCTTTAGTGCAGAGTACAGTTAACTCAATGTATTACGCAGCAATGATGTGTTCGTGTCCTCGATTGTATGCGGTGCTAGCTGTGGGTGCTCAAAATGCTTAGAGCGTGCACTAACCTTCACTCTAGTTTTCCGTAGCCTATCATGTCGGGAACGTTTAGGGGATCTGGCAGGGGGATGATGCACGTCTTTTTCAAGCATTCACTAACGCTATGGCAATCTCATATGGAGTTACACTTCTCGCTTACTGTTTTTGACGTAGGGAGAAGCACAGGAGCGTCGGTAAAGTGGTGTTCGTGGAGCTGGATGACACCACAGGCATTGGTGGCACACTTTCAGGAAGTAAGCCTGATTCAAAGATTTACTGATAGGCTCTTGTCGCACATTGTGAAAAGTATCCCTACTTTTGAGTTTCGGCTCCAGCAGTGACCGAAGTGAAGACCCTAGTGCCTTAATACTGTGCAAGGGTCATATTGAAGCAGGAGCAAAGCCATACATGTTTTCCTACAGGAATCGAGTCTAGGGATGAGATTACGATTGGACCGTTGCGGTTGGGTCCGATTGTTTCGGACCAGCTGGCATGGAGCTTTTAGATGGGTGCCAGCAGAACATACAGACCTTGCCGAGTGGCAGAGATATACAGAAAAGGTCAGCGGCTGGTTGAAAAGTGGTTCAGATGGAACCATAGAGACAGCGAGCAAGCTTGCACACAGGTAACCAGGGCGGGCGGAAGGTTTAGTGAGCAAGGGGAGGAGAAGAAGAGAGCGAGCCGAGGACAGAGGGAGAAAGCCATGAACACTGGAGAGAGAAGGCGATGCGCACGGTGGAAAGTGAAGATCGCCGAGCGGGAGAGGGCGGAATGACACAGAAAGAAAAATGGGTCCAAGTTTTTTCACCGTTCGTGCCTATTCTTGAATGTTGTGGGCATAATCTGTTTCGTACCATTACAGAAACCGTCACATGCTCCCCCGGAGACCCTCATGCGACCAGGGACCCCCCTTGGTCTCGGTAATTCCTCTTAGGAGGTGCCCGAAAAGGAGGCCAGCGAAGATCCAAGAAAGGTGATAGATAAACCCTCGTTTGCCAGGTGGCTCTGCGGACATGAATTTTCAGGAATGACCAATATATTAGTTTGCCTATAGGTTTCAGTGTTTGCAGACACGGTTGAACTTTTCGGCTGCGAGGTATTCTGGAAGCGGCCGTCACTGTAAATGCATGATATTTATGGCCCAATAAGTGACTTTCCCCTTGTATTTAGAATTTAAGATGCGATGAACTGGGGTTAAGTCGGTAATACCCTCAAATATTTTGGCTTGATCTACTAGGGGCCCCATGTCGTCAGCTGTCATTCACGGAGGACCCACTAAAAGCTCTTGAGGGATGGCAGTGAACCGCCACATATAGGCTGGGATTCCAATAGAATTCAAGAGACTGCGAATTGCAGACCGCAAACAGTAAACTGATAGTTTTCTCAGTTTCAGTTGTCTGCTGCCAGTCAGGCTGGGTAACTTTCCTGTGGGGGCTACCACGAATATTGGTGAATTCGCGAATGTTCCGGGGCGACTACAAGTAAAGTCTGAGATAGGATAATCCCAGACACGCCAGTTGCAACACTGGCAGCAGCAGCACAAGAAAGCACCCAACCGCAACCAGTGCTGCCACTGCAGCATCAGCAACATCAACTGTCATACGGGCAACTCAGAGGGCATTAACAACAGCTGAAGGCAAGGACTTCTGTAACAACAACGGTAACACTGATTCAATGTGATGGAGGAGGGTTATGAATTTGAATTCGAATCGAATGGGGGCCCCTGGGGCCCAGAGCAGGAGGCGGCAGTCGCTGTAGAGAACCTCTACTATGAGGCTCAAGACTGCCTCCAAGTCAGACCAGACAAGGCAAGCCCTTGAGTCGATTCCCTAAGTCCTAAGCACAAGAGGAGCCGGGGATGTCAATGGCACACTCTTGTTCTTGAGATTCATGCACCCAGGTCCTTAACTCTACGCCATCAACGCACTGAGCCGCCTAAAATATGAGTTGTAAATCGTAGAAATAACGAGTTCCCTACACGCGAGCGTCTAAGGGCTCCCAAAGACGTACAGTTCAGGGCGCGTTCTACCTGTATGGCATAGACGTGGTTTTGCAACTTGTGTGAGTAGGCAGTGCACCTGCTGGAGGAAGTGGTGCAACGCGAGGCAGATGTGGTACATAAGCCTTGGACGTGCAAAGCCCTTCTGTCGCTCACGCTGCTCGCACTTGGAGAAGGTACTACGGTGGAACCGCTTGTTATCTGTTCTTGGTTTTGCAGTCGCAGCTCCACCTCCTACGATTGCTGCGCCCTGCAGTACTCGAGGTTTGGTGAGAGTAATGTTCTTGCTTCATATAATACCGCTGATCATGCACTTAGCTCCACTAGAGGTGTTGTTCTTTTGGCTGCTACTTCAGGGAACTTCGACTGCGCTGGTGCTCATTACCAGCGTCTGCTACAGCAGATACCTACTGTTGCTGCTGGAGAAGCAGCTGCAACAGTCGAAGCAGTTCTTTCTGCAGCTGCCAAACTTGTGGGTATCGAACAGCACAACGGACTCCCAGACATTTTTGTTGCTGCTCCCCTACAGAAGCAGCAACAGCAGAAGCAGGAGACAGATGGACAAGTAGACCAGGATTCACCACTTAATGTTTCAGCAGCCGAGGCAAGGTGCTCCCCCAGAACCTTAAGAGGCGCTAAAATTGAGGGAGATAGTTTGCGAAGACCCTCTTCTGCTAAAGGTGGGCAGGTTCTTGAAAAGCTGATGCTCTATACTCTGGAAGCATTAACGTCCCAAGGAATGAAGGTAAATGAAAACCCTAATCCTCAAGCTGCGATTCTTGGTCTTCATAGATAAGCTGTAGCGTTGACTCATGGACAGCCCTTGATTCTGAGGCCTTTACATCATTTTTGCGATACGCAGAAACCACGGGTGCATGTATACAACCAGCTGCTCCGGCTGTACATACATCTCGGAGAATGGCATAAGGTAGCACGCTGGTGCCGGTGACTTTGCTATGAGGCCCCACGGGGGGTAAAGTGTGCGTCACTGGAAGGATTCTATTTGGGCGTATAATAGGCTTTGGGGCGGTAGTCTTTCTGGCACTGCGGGGCAGGCAGACTGCATTTGAAATCTTCAGCCATCATGTTCAGAAGCACACCAGACTTAGCGAACTAGGACTTTGACATTTCATGCGCATACGTCGGTGTCCCATTTCAAATTATTTGTGTCCCCTTTGCGCTTATTGGCGGCCCACAGGCTAAGAGCCTGCTGCCTGAGGTGCATCAGGCGTGGAGCGACCCTTCTTTGCCACTGCACCAGCAGCTTGAAGCAGCAGCAGTAGAAGCACTGTGGTACACATACAGCCGAGATTGGCCGCGGCTGCAACAGCTGATGCCGCATGCGCTGCGGCTTGCTTCTGCATCCCTAGACCCCAGAAGCACCGCTGCTATCAGGGAGTGCGGGGCAAGATTGCTCATGGAGCTGCAGATACACCCAGGCCTGCACGCGGGGCATAGTCAGGTGCAGGAACAGAAGCGGGAGCAGCAGCAACCCTGGGTTGATATTCACGCGCACCTAATGGCGGCATTTCGTCATCACCAAGAAATCGGGGATATTTAGTAAGCTGACGAAAATGCCTAAATACTAATCTGGTCATTCCGCGTACCCTTCGCTGAGCCTCAAGCCTTGCTACAGAATGGATATCACGAACACTAGAAAACTCTAAACTCTGTTTATCGACCCGAGAGCCATTCCTTTTGTGGCATGACCTTTGCGTAAAGCCCTAGATTTTAGGCTTTTCCAATAAACTTTTCGCAAAGGGAACTGGTTTTCTTTGTTGTACAGCGCTGCGACAGCTGCGCTACGTCGTGCGGTGCTCATTTCTCCGTTGGCCATCTCCGCTGTGGATCCTTTTAGCACACCAGAGGGGAAGGCACTGCAGGTCTGCTGATACTACTGTTGCTGTGGCGGTGTTTGTTCCATAGTTGCTGCTATAGCTGGTCCAGCTGCTGTTTTGCTTGCTGGAACCGTCATCCGTGGCTCATCGTCGGTGCTGAACCGCTTCTGCGTGTGCGCCTCTTACGTATTTTCTGCTATTTATACAGGACGACCCTACTGTGCGCTCAGCTAAGGCACTGCGGACTGCCTTTGAGGCTAGCGATATCGCAGGCGTCGAGGAGGTGCGTCGGAAGCCCTACTCAGACTCCAAACCCTTTACACCAAAACCCAAACCTCTGCTTGCTTTGCACCTCAGGGAACTGCGCGCTAAATCTTATCATCCGAACACAGCGTTAGAGTGTAAAGCTGCCGGTTAGCTGCGGCTTGACTCTTGCGACATCAGAATGTGGGGTTTAAGTATGTGTACGGTGTATTTACAGCATTTACAGCTCCTTGGTGCGACTGACCCTTTTGTCTCCCATTGTCGTGAGGCACTGCTTGAAGCAGTCCGGTGCGTATGGAGGGCATTGCATCTGAGGAGCGTAGCAGGGGTATCTAGGGATGTATATCTAGGGCCACGGGATAAGAGATACGGGGTTTAGATTGTTTGTGATTACGCAGGTTGAGGCGGTTGCTCTGCGTGGCATCGTGCTATTCGGCCTTTTCCCTGAAGCGGCTGCAACAAACGCTGCGGCTTTCATACAAAGCGACACTCAATCTCGTCTTGCAGGTGCTCAAAATTCTTGCTGCGCTACTTGCTGTTTCTACTGGTCGTCTTGGCGTTATTGCTGCTGCTGCCACTAGAAATGGACTTCAAAGAGCAACCGACCTATAACTGCTTTCAACGCAAACTGTTTGCGGTTATCTAAAATGTATCATGCATATGTCTCGGAGCCTGATATTCCGCGTGATTTGAGGGTCTGTGCCCTGAATTTGGTAGCTGTCGCAACGGGGTGGGCGTATACTTCTCAGGTCATTCGTCAGGGTCGCCTCGTCGCCGTTGTTGACGACGAGGCTCGAGTTGTGAGGGTACGCATTCGCCATTTGCTGCTTTTGCCACCATTGCTAGGGACCTACTAAACACCTTGCTGCTGATATTATTAAAGGCACAGACACTGAGTTCCCCTAAGGCATTCTCTTGACTGGTTTTTTTATGGCGGTTATGCAGCTGCGGGGGCTTCGAAACCAAGATGTTACAGCAAATGGTCAGCTGCTATCCCAGTGGGGAAACAGCCTGCACGAATTTATTGGCCGCCTAGAGACCTTCCTAGTAAAGGAGCCCCAAAATATGACCAGCCGCGGGGGCTTCTCAGGGGTGCCGTACGCCGCTCATATCTACTAGGCGGACTGGTCTTGTAACAGCGAAGAGTTCCAGGGCAGTAGCACACCAGTGCTCACCGTGATACCCTGCTGCTGCACATAGGCCTGTACAGCTAGCGCAATGTCCATGGACGCCCATGGAGTTGCAGCAGCAAATATGGTAGCAGCAGTGGTGCATAAAGCACGCAGAAGCCTTTTCAACGCCATCGACGATGAATCACAGACGAGGGCTGCAGCAAGCGTAACACAGCTGCACCAGTCACGGCAGCAACGACAAGAACAAAACCAATCACAAGAAGACTAGGAGCATTTGATCTGCAGTGGTCTCGGCTTGTGTGCTGAATGGGTCCACAGAGGAAGCGTCCAATGGATCAATGGCTGCACGACCTAGCGCAGCTGTCGCAGCCCTGTACAGTAAGAGATACAGCAGCGCCATGAACGACAACCGCTTATAAGGAAAGCCTCAGCCATAAGCCATAATGCAGCACAGCTGTGGACAAACGCCGTAGTCCTGAGTGGTGTCTCGCGGTTTCGCGTATGTTTGTTGCACCGTGAAGCGTGCTGGAGTCCCAAATTTGCATTTCCTTGTTGTGCACCAGGGTAACCCATTTAGCCCCGAAGTGTAACCCGTAAATCCTTTAGCCCAGAATATCAGGCCTGTGCAGCCCGTGCAAACAACTATAAGCGTAATCGTTCCGCAAGTTTACCAACGAGCATCAGGGGAAGACAATCAGCCGCATGCTGAAGGCAACTATAGCGGGCTGAGCTACACTTTGATACATCTACTACACTAGTTACATTAACTAAGTATTTGTAGAGGATTGACTAACGGATTTGTCCGTTAAATATCATAATTATCGCATAGCACAGTTACGTCGATACAAGACGCTGTGTGTGCGTGTGTGCTACATGATATGTGCAGCTAGCTGCGAAACTTCGGCGTGCTGGGATAATGCCAGCTAGCTGTCTTGCCTCCTTCTTGTGGGGAACTCTGAGGGTCGAGGGCAGGGAAAGCACGTTCTTGTGCAAATCGATAACTCTCAAGTCTGTCTAAAATTAATTATCTCCCTGCAGAGTTCTATGACGGACCCGTAGAGTTAGTAGCACTGCATGGCTCTATGCAGCTCCTCTGGGTCCTTCTGCTTTCACTAGACAAGAAATTGTTGCTGGTTGTGGAGCAGATACTGCGATTCTGGCTGTTGGATATTTATGCATGGCCTTACCCAAATAGTTACACTAACAGCACAGACCCTAGGATCATGAGTACGTTCCTCTAGCTATGGTTGCTACTACCTTTTGTTCTCTTGCTTCGCCACCTACTGATACTGCAGCACGTGGTGCTGTAACTTCCCTTTCCCTTGTTGCGTGTGCCGCCGCTGTTGGCGCTGATGTATCTATTGCTGCGCATGTCGCTGCTGCTGCAGTTGTTGATCATACAGTTTTGCACAGTACTGAGGCTGAAGCACGTCATGGGGGCCCCTGCTGTGTCAGGAGCTTCACTGAAGTGGCATGGGAAAACCCTACGGTGGGGGCAGCTAGGATGCCCACGTCCCTTCTGAGGTCCTCGGAGAAAGGTATCTGACTGCAGACACAAAGCACAAACTTCAAATCCATTGAGAGTTCTTCCAGACGTACTTCCCCATATCTTTAGCTTCTTCCCTCAAGCGTCCGATTTAAGTGGGGGAAGGACAACCGGGGTGCGCGTTGCCGCACCTCCAAAGCACTTGGAGCATTCAGAAATATTTTTGCATTGTGCCTAGCGCACACGTAAAGCGTCACTTCATATTGTGTTGAGCCACGACTACTATGCAAAAACGATTACTAGAACAAATTAACTAGTTAGTTTTCAAAAAATATTAGCAAAATATAACTCATGTACTAAAACGTGCCGTGATGTATCTTAGACCGCTATATTTGCCTTTATTCCCGCACCCCGACACGAAGGCCACTTTTCATGAAGCTGACTGTCAAACGACCTGCACGCAGGATAGCGGGAAGCAGATCTGTCCTGTTGCCATTCTGGTGGAAGTCGGAAATGCGGAAAACAGAGTAATAGTGAAAAACAAAGCGCTCATGAACCCGTAGAAAGATCAAGAGAGGCAGGAAGATACACACACTGCTCAACAATGAGCGATGGACCAAGTGAACACGCTCACGGAGGTACGAGGGCTGCCGATCATCGGCGTGCTGAAATGTGAGTCGCCTTATACGGGGCACAACAGCCCTGCAAACCGTACGAAGCGAATCATGACACAAACAGTTCCACAGTACCTCTACATCTCAGAAAACAAATACTGCATGCAAGAACACCTCGTGCATGAAGTGCGAGCATTTCCAAAGCCGCACAGGAGAAATGCGGAAAAATTGCAGGCACAATATACTTGACAGTGTC